TGGTGTTGGAAGGTGTGTATTAGTGGTGTTGGAAGGTGTGTATTAGTGGTGTTGGAGGTGTGTATTAGTGGTGTTGGAGGATGTGAGTTGGTGGTGTTGAAGTGTGTTTCTAACACACACACACACACATGCATGAACGCGGGAATTAAGACAACAAACATCCAGTGAGGATCTTGCTGTGTGACTGCATGGTGGCGAGATAAACATCAGCTATTGAGGAGCGTTTGGCAACACACCAAAGCTTGTTACCACTCCTTTCCACTCCATCTCTCATCTCTCTAATTACCCACACCTATCTGCTTTCTCACTCATGTTTTAAAATGTTATGTAACGTAATGTTGAAGGGATACAACTTTGCTTATTTACACTTATACTTAGCATAATCTCCCCCAAAATACGTTAGCTTTCATCTTTATTCAAGACCGCTTCAGGTCATGAGCCCACTAATCCCCCACCCAAGAAAGGGTGACCTGACATTTCATCTGAAGGTCATTAATGAGACCACTAATCCCCCACCACTCTACCTCCACCTGACATTGCATCAAGTCAGGTCAAGTCTCCCCCCAAAATACTTTAGGTTTTGTCTTTATTTAAGACCTCTTCAGGTCATGAGACCCACTATTCCCCCAGCCAAGAAAGAGTGACCTGACATTCCATCAAAAGGTCAGTAATATGAGACATAATGGAAAGCTCGATTTAGAGGAAATTTTGATTAAACAAACAGGGGTGGCTCTATTTGGGGGGGGGGGGGCATTAACCCACCCAGACGCAGGTCACTGACCCACACGAGGGGGTGGAGGGCAAAAAATAAATAAAAAATAAATAAAAATAAATAAATATACAGTAAAAGTCCAAAAATCCGGATGCCAGAAATCCGGACTTTTCGAAAACCAATTTTTTGTTTTGTTTTTTGTTTTGTTTAGCGGGCTTTTGTGTGTATGTGCGCATGCGTGAGCGCCACAGCTGCACAGCGACAATAAGCGACCACGTGGTTGCCACTTTAAAACGAGCAATCAAACTGTGACAACATACCGTATATACTCGTCTATAACTCCCCCTCGTTTATCGGTCGGCCCTGATTTTTTTACCAAGAAATCGTTAATTTATGATATTCCTCGTTTATAGTTTGACCCACATTTTTGAGGGTATTGGAACAACAAAACCTTCAGTAAAAACACTCTACGTCCTATAAACTGAGGCTCGCCGTGCCTGAAACACGAGTGCCGAAGGCAAATTGTTTACCATTTGTTATTACGACACTTAACACTGAAACGCGGGTAGTTTCAACAAAAATATTGTATATTTCCATTCAAGTATTTATTCAAGTCAATTAGGAGGGAATATTATTGTAATACAACAGTTTTTTAACTAAACCATTCGAAAAGCGATTACGGTAACATCTTTTGAACGAAAGAAAGCGAAAGTCATTGTTTTCGTCATGATTTTATCCCACTTTCCACTGTAATACGGACGTAATTTCAGCAAAAATATTACATTTCCGTGAATGTATTATATCAAGCACAGTATGAATAAAATATCATTGTAATATAACAGAATTTTAACCGAAAACTATTAAAAAAACGAGTAACATCTCAAGAACATCGGAAGCTTAGGTAAAGTCTTTTGTTTTCGTCATGTATTTTATCCTATTTCACATTGAAATACATCACGTTTCAGCAAAACTACTATTTATTTCCGAGAATATACTCATTCATGCGCAGTTTAGGTAAAATATACGTGTGATGTAATAGTTTTTTAATTGAAAACGATTCGAAAACACGTCCCCTCTAGCCCTGTTCAAGGAGAGGACTGAGAAAAGCTGTTTGGTGCTGCAGACGATGACAAGGAAAATGATTTTGATGGATTTTAATGAAAATATTCAGAAATATGGTATCGTAGTATTTATTCAAGTCAGTTAGGATAGAATATTATTGTAATACAACAGTTTTTTAACTGAAAACCATTCGAAAAGCGATTACAGTAACATCTTTTGAACGAAAGAAAGCGAAAGTCATTGTTTTCGTCACGATTTTATCCCACTTTCCACTGCAATACGTACGTCATTTCAGCAGAAATATTACATTTCCGTTAAAGTATTATATCAAGCACAGTATGAATAGAATACCATTGCAATATAACAATATTTTGAGTCCTACTCTTTCCATTTACAGAGTACTGTACAAGCTCATAATAATGGCTTCTAAAGTAGATAAACTTCGTTGTGTGAAGAGAAAGAAGAACACGTTGAAATTGAGTGATAAACTTGAAATAATTAAGAAACTAGAACGTGGTGTGAGCAATACTGTTCTAATGGAAACATACGACATTGGAAAGTCTACAATTTATGATATAAAAAAGGCAAAGAATAAAATTCTAGAATTCACAGCTTTTTCATTAAAACTGCTCGTTTTGATAAATGAAGCATGCTATATTTGCTAATGAATAAACTATCAAAATGTACCTGTTCATTTCTTCTTCATTCCTCCTTAAATTTCAAATTTAAAAGTACTGCCTGAGAATCCGGAAAATCCGAAAATCTGGACCGACACAATCCCCAAGCAGTCCGGATTTTTGGACTTCTACTGTAAATAAATAAATACCGTGATCCCTCGGTTAACGAATTACCTTCCATAAGAATATTCAATTAGGTTACCGAAAAAAATTCGGTTAACGAATTCCTTATGAATTTTTCCCAACATGTTTTCGCCTGCTCACCAGTTGTAGTATTAGTCCGCCAATACAGTAATCGTTTTAGGGCTTAAATTCGTTACCTTTTGAGTAAATATCAAAAAGGTTGTACGATTCAATAATTTTCCAAGTCTTATATTAAAATATTTAGTCATTTTAACAATTATTTAACATAATTGAAGTACAGGGAACTAGTTTTTAGCGTGTCAAACAGCCACTTGACTCACCCAGAATGGCGTCAGTTTGTGTCCCTGCTCAGTGGAGGAAGCATCTTGCTTGAGACTCTCTTGAACATAAACTATTTTTACGTTTTTACAGTACAGTACAATTATTGGTCATTCTGAAGTTTATTTTACATAATGACAATATATAATGCAGTGCAGTGTTGATTTAAAGAAAATAATCTTGAATTACACCAAGTGAACTCAAATTTTATGGGTGAAATGGCGACAAAGCATGGGGTGACTTCTCTTCCACCCCAATGCCTTCTCTTCTCCCTTCTCCTCCACCCCCACTTCTAATTCCCATCATCATCATCATCAACCAGGAGCCTTCTACATGCAAATTTTTATGTAATCCTGGAATTTAACAAGCATGGAGTGCAGCGAGTGTTACCCATGTGACCAAATATGCTTATATTTTTCCCAGATACCTGTAATTTCACATAATATATTCCAAGACCATATATATGCCGGATCATTTGAAATTCCGAGTTATCGAATGCCGAGTTATCAAGGGTTTACTGTACTCCTGAAAGAATAACCCTTGGCATGGATGTACCCTATAAAGGGAGAAGTTTTGTCATTAAACACATATACTATGATCTGCTTTCATTTTCAACATTAGCTACACAAGTTGACATTACAAGGACCAAGCACTCAAGGGGCAGAAGGAAGAGAAACCAAGTTGCAGTTGAAGAGAACACCCACAAGAGGTCACAGCTCAAGGTTGAAGAAGATGCAAGTCCAGAAAACTGTGAGAACAAACTTTTTCAGAGTGAGAATCGTGAATTCCTGGAACAACCTGCCAGAGTGTGAGCTGTTTTAAGACCAGACTTGGCTAATACTGGAGTGGGTTCTGATATATTCAGGAGCCAGTGCACTCACAGTACTTGCCAACAGTGTGTAACAGAGATGTGACTGACCGCCCAAGTAGCTAACGAGCCGATCAATGGCAAAGAGGATAAAAATATAAATTAAAACAAGTAAAAGTAAGAAAGATAATGCAAAACTTCAGCAGCATCCTACACTGCACTGTGTGACGTCACATGGAGAGGAGGAGTTTAAGCCCCAGAACTGTTACAGTACAGTGTAGGTGTGATAATTCACCGGTTAGGCACCAAAGGACATTGTGAATTTTCAAATAGCAAATTATAGTTCAATTGATTTAAATGGAAATAATTAGTCAGGTTCCAGAGGCCAAAAAATTGCACATAAATTGTTCCAAAACCTTTAACCCTTAGATGGCAGCAGTGGTGACTGAGCGAGCACCCAATAAGAAAATTGTCTATACAGTATACAGATGCCGACGACTAATAGAGTCCAACATAAATAAAGATCCACTATATAATGAGACATCTTAAAAATATCTAGATACAAGGAGCACCGGACCATCAGCCAAGTGCTAAAATAGAAAATGAAGGAAAATGTTCAGATAGGAATGTATGACATACAATAGTCTTTTCAGAGGACTCTCACCCACATGTACAGGTTCCCAATTGGTTCTCTGACTTATCCAGGGAACAGAGGAGAGGTTGGGGAATACAATGCATGCTCTTAGCAAGTTATGGTCCAGAGCCACTGCAAAATTTTAGACTCCCTCCCCCTGCCTATGTATATACAGTATGTAGTCACCAACAAATATCCTATCGCATCTTCTACTGTTCCACAAACCCTGAGATACAGACTTTTGAATTAGAAACAGCCATGGACTGAATAAAGTATCAGTGTCTCCTCCTCCTGGTTCATGAGTCTATATCTTGGGGTTTGTGGAACAGCAGACGAGGCAAAAGTACATGTGTTGGCGACTGTACCTCCCTTTAATATTATATTACAGTCCAGTAAACAATTTAGAAACTTAAGGGATTATTTTATAACATTCATTGTTTAGTGTATTACGTAACCCCAGGTTTGCTCAAGACAATTAGCAAAAGCTACTGGGGGTCTGTTTGTTCGGACAATTAGTAAAAAGTAATCTTTATGTACAGGCCTGGGTAAAGTCTAATACACTGTACTGTAATAACATTCTGTAGAAGAGGGAATCATAATTTCCCACAGCAACCTTCCCGCCCCCAACAAAATATTAAACATCACCTGTTGATTTCTTCTTCTTTGAGAGTGTTGCTCTAGAGGTGTTTAGTAACATGTGGATTTCAGAAAGGGCTGCCCTAACATAAAAGGTTTGATCAGAAGCTGCTGGACCTTGAAGAATCTTCCATACATCACTCTTCACAGTACTGGCAAAATCTTCACTCTCCATTAACCATGGATGCTGAAATAATTTCAAACTGTACATAAAGTCAGAGATGAATCAGTGACATCAATAATGGCCTATCATTCCCTTAGCTAAAAGACCTGCTACTTAACCCTTTCCTTGCACATACTGTAGTTCCCCCTCCCATAATACTGATAATATTGAGTAAACTAATAAATAAATTTAATAAAAAGAAACCGGTAAAATGTTTTATAAACAGATGCTCCTCTACTTATGAACATTCGACTTGCAAACCTTCAGAAATATGAACAAACCAGTGCATATGTACTGTACTGTATAGCTGCAAAGCCTCTCTTCATATCACTGGATTCACCCCTAAAAGTAACATTAACTGTAACATTAAATTTTTTAATTATAAGTACAGCATGCCCTTAAAATTCTGGAGAGGAGGGGGTGGGGGGGGGGTCTCAAAATGGTCGTAAATTGCCAAAACCGCCAATATCATTTTTGTTCATGTGCAAAGAAATGTATACTATTCTCTTTATGTGTTTGCCCTTAGGACAATTAATTTCAGTTACCTGTACTGTATTTAATTGTATTGTATGTGGTTTGTGTGTTTAGCCACACACACAAAACACATACAAATAAATAATAATGGGAAAATCCTCTCACAAATAAACGGAAACAAGACAACAAAATGTATCGAAATGCAGAAAAAATGTAATTCCACCCACAAGTCAACTCCATGCTTTGCTATTAGAGTTGGGTTGGTTGGGATGCTGTATGGCAATATTTTCCTCATAAAAATTACAGTCTCTAGAACGAATGGCATCTGAGCCAAGTTGAAAAAAAACATAACACCTCACTGCCATAGTTTTCTTTAAAAATTATATACAGTAAAAGGAATGTGAGGAATACAATAAATAATATCAATAAATAAGTTACAACAAAAAATACTATTACCAAACAAGTAAATAAAAGTCAAATGAAAGTTTAATGTAGTCGCCATATGCATACACCACCTGTTCCACCATAGTAATGAAGATCAGCTGGGACGCCGATTCCCTAGCAACGCTCCCCACCAGCAACACTCTGCGCTCTTCTCCTGGTACGTGTTTACCCTTGGGACAATTATTTCTTTTACCTTTTTTCACAATATGTATTTAGGATGGTGTGTGCATGTAACCGAGTAAAAATAAATGCAGAAAGTTACGTACAAGTATATCTACCCGAAAATACGAGTTGAAAAAACCATAACACCTCACACCTTGGCCCAGTAGCGTGGAGGTTACAATGATGAGCTAACCTACCTTAGTTACAATGCCATGATTAATCACTATTAAACACTAATAATAACAGTAAATCCAGTGAAATATGGCAGGGAGTGAGGTGTTACAACTACAATCGATGTGCTAACAAACAATCACTCACTCCCCTTACCCCCTCCTGTTGCCAGGTGTAGCCAGGCGTAGGTATGGGAGAAATACATGACCTTCTTTTCTCTCATCCCTTGTTTGGGCACCTTACCGCGGATGGATGAAGGTGGTTGAAGGCGTTTGAGAGCCATCACAAGCACAAGGAGCATTATTTTTAAGAGAGCAGAGTAGCACATGTACGAAACGGATAATTGTTTAACCCGGACTGTCACTGAGGCGGAGTGAGCGCACATGGCCCAGCCACCTGGGTCAAGAGAGACACCTTGTGGGATGCCATAAAACTAGCAGGCTCCTTGTCCCAGCCATGAAAATGCCGGCAATTTTAAAAATTCCTGCAGACATTCTTGGGTACATCCAGGGTGTCATCCGCAAAATAAAAATTCGCGATTTGTAAGGGCATGCTGTATATAAACAGCAATAACAAAAGCATATACAGTCTCTCTCCTCGACTTACAACAACCCGGACATACGACCGCCATGGTCGTATGAAATATTTTTCACATTACGTATTTTCGAGTCCCGAAACGTTTGGTCGTAATGTGACCCCGTACGACAGCGTGGGCTGGGCCACCTCGTGGTGTACAGCATCCACTCCGTAGCCCGCTCAGTTGATGTTTGGCCGTCGTTGTTGTTGTTGTTTTTAGTGATCGCGCTGTGTACTGAAAAAAATTTCGTCTCTAATTCCCTTTAAAATGGCTGGAAAGCGTAAAAGTGATAGTTCTCGTGGTGCTGAGAAGAAAAAGAGACAGTCAATTACTTTTGAGATGAAAATAATAATGCAATATGAAAATGGAAAAATGGTAGCAACTATTTCACGCGACCTTGGCTTTTCTCACTCGACGATATCAAAAATTTTGAAGGAAAAGGAACAAATTCGTAAGGTAGTGAAAGGATCAGCACCTATAAAGGGAAGAATAATAATGAAAAAAAAGACAAGGTCCTCTTCATGAGATGGAAAAATTACATGTTATGTGGATGGAAGATCAGCTGCAAAAGCGTGTACCCTTAAGCCTTCTAACCATACAGGCTAAGGCAAGAAGCCTTTTCGAAAGCCTGAAAGAGCAGGCAGGAGATGAGTGCGACCAAAACTTCACAGCAAGTCATGGGTGGTTCCAAAGGGTTAAGAAATGTTACAGTTTGCACAGTGTAAAGGTGAGTGGAGAGGCAGGAAGTGCTGATGTGGGTGCTGCTGAAGCTTTTAAGGAGGAGCTAGATCGTGTCATCGTGGAGGGAAATTATTTGCCTGAGCAAATATTTAATGTGGATGAAACTGGCTTATTCTGGAAGCGCATGCTAGAACGGACATACATCCACAAAGAGGCGAAAACCATGTTGGGATTCAAGGACCGAATCACACTTCTGTTGGGGGGGGGGGGATGTAGTTGCTTTCAAGGTAAAACCATTCATGATCTATCATTCAGAGAACCCAAGGGTGTTTAAAAATGTCAGCAAGCACACACTGCCAGTGTTTTATTGCAGTAATAAGAAAGCATGGATGACCCTAGCACTGTTTGAGGATTAGTTCCTGAGTTGTTTCATTCCACGTGCCAAGGAGTATTGTCTTCAACAAGGGGTTGCGTTCAAGATTATATTAATTTTAGATAATGCTTCGGGACACCCACCACACCTGGACAACCTGTACCCTGATGTAAGGGTAGTCTATATTCCACCTAACACTACCTCTATTATCAAACCCAGGGATCAAGGTGCTATTGCTGCTTTTAAAGTGTATTATTTACGTATGACCTTCGCTCAGGCTATTGCTGCTACTGAAGGTGAGAAAATGCTCAGAGAGTTTTGGAAGGACTGCAACATTTTGCAATGTACAAAGATTATAGCTGCAGCATGGGATGAGGTTACAGGTCAGTGCATGAATGGAATATGGAAGAAGGTCCTGAAAAGATATGTGAACAGTTTCAAAGGATTTAATGAAGATGAAGCAATTTCTGTGATTAGTAACAAGATAGTGCAGATGGATAGACAGCTGGAGTTAGAAATTGATAATGAAGATGTTGAGCATTTGGTGGAAAGTGTAGCAGAAGAGCTAAGTAACGAGGATCTTACCGAACTGGATGCACAGAAAATTGCAGAGGAAGAAGAGAGACGAAATGTAAAAGAAGAACCTGCACCCCCAAAAAGTTTTCAGTGAAACAAATGGCAGAGGCATTTGCTACTATTAATAAGGGGATGCAAATCTTTGAAGAAATGGATCAAAATGTTGAGCGTTTTTGCAAAAGTTGACAGACTGAGCCAAGATGCACTTGCTTGCTACAGGGATATTTACAATGAAAAGAAAAGTGCAAACTGTGCGGTCTAAATTGGACATTTTTTTTAAGAAGTCCCCCACTGCTGTCTCCTCACGTGCCACCACTGCTGCCTCTTCACTCCCTAAAGAGGATCCAATACCTTCAACAAGCAAGTATGTTAGTCTGTCTGAAGAAAGCAAACTTGATGACCCACACCAGCCCTGTCTCCTCCTCTGCTTCATCCAATTGATGTAGTCTACATGCTTAATAAAAAATGATTGAGGCCCCGTGTGCATTCAGCTGACTACATTAATGGTAAGTGCACAGTAACACTTAATTTATTTTTCATTATTGACTATATTTACTGTACTGTATGTCCAAAAGTGGGCAGTTGTGCCACAAAAAGTTGCGGCGCAACTTGTGCCACAAAAAGTTGCGGCGCAACTTGTGCCACAACTTATTTGCGCGTGCAGTTGCGCCGCACATTTTTCCAGAGAGTTGTAGAACTGGTTGCAGCACAACTTTTACAAGCATTTTCAAGCCCAAGCTCAACGCGCAGAATTTTTTGGCAATAATTGAAAATTGGAATATGATCACATAAACAAACGGGCATCCCTATAGCCGTGCATTACGAAAATTTCTGTTTCTGACGGAATGATTCAGCATACACATAATACAGGTCGGGCAGCATATTTCAGAACTGTAAACCAGATGAGACCCCCCCCCCCCTTCGTCACTCCCCTTCCCTTGCTGCAGTTGCCAGATTTCATCTTTCACATAAACTCTAGAAACTAGAGTTAATGTGAAAGATAAAATCTGGCAACTACAGTGAGGAAGGGGAGGTAGGAATGATTCATATCATAACCAGTCAGACTTTGACAGCCAGTCCACTGAGACTGAGGCCAGTGGCAGTGAGGCATTTTTTTGTAATTTTGTCATAAAATATTTATAATATTAACTTTTCTGTATCAATTATATTTTGTTTTACTTGTAAATAGGCAAAAAAAAATGTTTAGTATTTGTTTATTTATTTATTTTTTAAGTTGCGCATTGTGGTTGCACTTGCAGCGAAACTTTTTAAAATGGTTGCGGTTGCGGCACAACTATTTCAGCAGAGTTACGGTGGCGGTTGCGGTGCAAAAAAAAAGTTGCGAGTGCCCATCTTTGTGTACGTATTTCATTTTAGAATTTCTATGTATTATTTTCGCCATTTTGACTTACGACCTGGTCGTCGGGACTGAACCCCGTCATAAGTTGAGGAGAGACTGTACAGTATTCCCTTAAAGCTCGCTGGGATTAGGTAAAATGGATTCCGTGAGAAAGCAAAATTCGCGAGTTTTTCGTGCATAAGACAATATAATAAATAGGAAATAAC